GACCTAAAGTCCTAAGACTGGCCAATTCAAATTAAGCCTCAAATAGATTTCTCTAAACAGTAACAGTCTGAAATAGGTTTCCAGACTGGGGCTAGAATGAGATGTTGGTCTCAGATCTCAAGTAAAGAATCAATGCCTCTTAAAAGAGTCTGATATGTAATTTCTTGATTCCAAGAGACCCTCCCCAAGTGGCAGACCCCCTTTTCAGCTTAGGTGCTTTGTTATAGTATTGTTCATTCATACAGTCCCTAAGCAATAAGAAGTGATAGATGAATAGTGCTCATTTATTCTGAAATCCATATCTCATAATATCAGATTTGAAAGCTTAACATTTAACCAGCTTGTTGCACCATAGGCTTCCTTAGCTGTATAATGGTGGGCAGACAGCTTACTAAAGTTTACTAAAACTTTTTTGCTGGGTTTATGGAGCAAAGTAAATATCCAGCTGGGGTCATAATAACAGAAGTGCTCTATCTCAGTACAGGTAGTCTCCAACTCACAACCCTCGCATCCAATCACTTCCATAGAAGGATCTCACCCTGCTCCAGCTCCCTTCTTCCCACGGGGGAAGAAGGTCTCCCTAACATGACCATGGGAGTCTGGTGGGAAAAATGTCATAGGAAATATGTGGGCCCAGAAACAGAAGAAGAGACAGAGTTATGAAATCTGGGAAGAGCTAGGGGCAGCTGACCCAGGGGCAGAATCCCAGGCAAGGCTGGCCTGCCTACGTGCTGACCAACCAACTGTGGGGCCCAAAATAGCCTCCCCCCAAGGCCTGCATTTCTTTCACTCTGTACTGTGTTGTGCTGCTTGAAATTCCACCATTTAGAGCAGCATCCTGGCAGTTGGCATGGCAGAAGGGAGTTCACTGGGTGCCCAGGGAGGGGTCACTGGAAGTAGGAGGGTGGCAAATAACAACTATGATCTCTATTCATGGAGCACAGGTTTTACAAAGCAATATCTCATTTAACCCTTGCACCAACTCCATGCGTCAGGTTTGCTATTATCTCTATTTTACAGTGAGTGTAAGAGATGTCAAATAACAGCTTAACATCTTGGTTAAGTGGCAAGGCTGAGAGCTAAACCCTATTCTGATATGTGTTACCTTGAGCTCTTACTTGTCGAACCCCCTCTGATTTCTTGTTCTATACCTTCCTTCTGCAGATTATGGGATGCGGCACTGAGGGCGGAGACTCTCACCTGATAATACTGTGAATTATAGTTCAGCTATATCATGGCTTCCATAGGTTTTTGTGGGCTAGCCTGAGAACTCAATAACTTGACTGAAAAGGCTATTTCTATAGGAAATTTTGTGACCAGCTACCAAGCTGGTGGACTATAATCCCATTATATTATAATAACTTGAGAATTATCTGTAATTACAATTTAACAATGCTCAATGTCCCTTCTATTAATAGTTGGCTTCCAGTGGTATGAAAAATTAAGCCCAGCTTCCAGCTCAAGGGTCCTTCATGTTTAGTTTTTCATGTACATTTACTAGAAACTATGTTCCGTGAGGGCAGGGACTTTTGTCTATTAGGCATTTCAAGGTATCCCTAGCACCTAGGACAGTGCCTAGCACATCGAGACATATGTTAACTATTTGTTGAATGAATATGTGCATTTAGACAGCAAATTTTTAAAACCGTATGCACTTTATGCATCTGTGAAATACATTCAGAGTTGAGATATTCAATATGAGTACAGTGAATGAACCTTCAATAAATTCAGACAATCTTGTACAGTATGGTCTTAATAGTTAGTTAGTTGAAGGCCTTCCTCTCATATAAAATGTTTTCCCCTTCCCATATAAAGTGCATTTCAAGGGTTTGGGGAAACTGGTCCCAGCTTCAACAGACCCACCTCCTGCTATCATGGAACTCTTGCACTTTGGACAAGTTGATTTACATCTTTAGGTCTCAGGACAGAAGGGATTTCCTTTCAGCTCTAAAATGTTATGGCATCTGAAAGTTTCACCTTGGATTCCTCACACCTGTTCTAATTTTCTTTGGAGAAGGTACTGGCAAAAAGCAAAATAAATGAACAAAAAAAGCAAAAGAAAAGTCTTGGGTGTCTCAAAAGAAAATCACATTTTCTTGAGTTTAGACAGGTTAGAAGTTGTTACAGGAGGCAGCCATGGACCATTTACTTTATAGCCAACCTCTAGGCAGGCAAATTAGCTGAATTACAAATTCTATTTGGTTAGTATATACTGAAATAATACTAGGAATAGAATTCTGAATGTTTCATTTACATTGGAACCAGCAGAATACATGTGGTCTCACAGGTGAGTGTGTAGACCAGTCATGGTCCAAATAGTTCCTGTTTGAAAAGTGCAGAATGACTGTTAACGTGGCACAAAAGATCTTTTGCTCAATCACTAAGTTACAAGCATTTGAAGGGAACTAGAGGAACCAGAATTTATGGTACTTTCTATTTTTAAATGAAATGCAATGACTTCATGTTTTTCTACATGATCCTTCACCAGTTGCACTGTGTACGGTGCAGGATATAAATGTCAGCATTGTGACAGGGGCATGTTGACACTGGTTGAGTGTTCAAAGTCTGCACACTGTCATTATTTTCCCTTCCCTGCACTGACAGCTTGCTACCGAATTGAACATACCTGGAAAGAAGTCAATTTGGCTTAGAATGCAGCTCGGTTTCTCTTTGAGAACATCTTTCAGGTTTCCTCTAGGATCTATTGGATCTTCCCACAGATAAAACAGAATGGGGTGTGTTCTGCTGGTTCAAATTGTAAATAGAGTAGTGAGAATCTCACCTACAGCATCAGTTTTGGAAAAGGGAAGTAATCTCTTCCCCTACAATGTAACCCCCCACCCCAAATCAGTGCTAACTTGCCTATTTTGTGACTGGTTGTACCTTACATAAGCTACAGATCTTCTTAGGGCTGGGGTCCTCAAACTTTTTAAACAGGGGGCCAGTTCACTGTCCCTCAGACCATTGGAGAGTGCTCACTGTGGGCCTAGGATGAGTCAGCTGGTAAGCAGGACAGGCAGTGGCAGCAAAAGTACCCAGAGCGCTGGATAAATGTGCTAGGCGGCCCGCATGTGTGGCCCTCGGGCGGTAGTTTGAGAATGCCTGTCTTAGGGTATTACCAAGCATAGTGATTCAACCCTGGCTGCACAGTATAGACTCACCTGAAGGAACATCTAAAAATCCAGATGCCCAGGCCACACCCCAAACTGAGTAAGTCAGAATTTCCTGGGGTGAGGTCTAACATCAGTATTCTTTCATGTACTCCAGTCTCTTCTTAGGAATCTCTTCCCGAAGGACCCTTAGGATAGGCGCCTGAAGGTCTAGGGGCAAATCTCATAGCACTGGCATTGTGGGCCCAAAGGCGTCCCTTTATCGTAGGGTTATAGACTGCTCTTGAGTTCTAAAGTAAGTAAGTAATTTGTTCAAAGTCACCAATCTAGTTGAAAGAAGAGCCAGAAGCAGGAGCTAGTATTAAATGAGCCTAGCTAGATAGGACACTAATATGACAATTAAGCCTCCCAAAATTAATCAGTTTCACAATCAGGCACAGTCATTTTTCTCTGCAGAAGGTCTGGATTAGAGAACCATTATCTGCCACCATATTCCTGTCTCTCTCACCCACTCTGGCTGTTCCAATGAATGAAGAGTCAGTTACTCAGCTTTCCTAGGTACTGCTCAGAAGACAACTGGGAGCATTTTAAATTTCTATAGAAGAAACATTGAATTTGTGATTGAAATGAAAGCCTTTAAAAACAGGTTTATACAGTTAATAGAAACTCCTGGAACAGGTACTTTAGTTTCAAGGGATTGACCATGATCTCTTTCTAACCCTAAATCACTCTTGAAGTCTTAATTTGCTTTATTAAAAAACACAATTTTTTCTCTTTCTTGAGACTTGTGAAAGAAGATGCTTTCGTTTCTTTAAGCATGAACTAAGCACATCGCATTAATCAGGTTGTTTCCTAGCCTAAGGCTGCTGGATTTGGGGCACTCCTAGCAAATGGCTGACTTGACCTGGACTTCTATTGTAGTTCTGTCCACAGTATGCTCCAAGTGCAAAATAGCTAGCCATAATTGTAGGGGGTGGGGAGAAGAAGGAGTGGCCAGGGTGGTATCCCAGCTACAAACAGCTCACTGTCGCTTTATTTTGAGGTTGTGTCAAATTGTCTACTGCTACATTTGTTACCTTCATACCTCCCCAATAGCCTCTAGAACTTGTAAGGTAGCACGCCTCCGTTTATACAGCAGACGTCTGAAGAGTGGAGCATAAACCACACAATTGACATGCCCTAATTGGCTTGTTTCTAAAATACACTAATTTTTGAGAGGTAAATCACAGACTCATTTTCTACTAAGAATAACCCGGCCGGTCTTTTCTTAAGAAAGAGTTAGTAGCATCGTCATACGTGGAGTGAGCTACAGCTTTTTCCCTAGTCCTAGCCAGCACTATTTACGGTTAAGTCTTTCTAGAACCGGAACTTTTCTGAACACATTTGACACTACCCAGATGCTTGTTTTGGAAATCGAGGCCCTTCTGCGTTTTCTCTGTCTCTGGCTTGGTTTTGTGAAAAGCCGGCCTCTCTTCTTGCAGGCACAGTTTAGGATGAAAGTACAACAGTTTTCAGAAATAAGCACAGCCAGGAACAGCGAAACAGATAAAGGGCTTTGGAAGAAAGAAAACCTGGGAGTGCGTATCTATGGTGGGGAAGCGGAGAAAAGGTGACAATTGTGTGCGTATTCCTGTGGTGGTGGTGAGGGTATTTGTTCACGGGACCGCTAAAGGGACCACATAACATTTCGACACCCTGTGAGCTGGGCAAAGCAACACGTGTCATTTTGAGGCACGGTGTGTGCGGGTGGGCCTCCGGGCAGCCACGCGTCCCTGGGGGCTTTGCCCATGGTCCGGAGACCTCACAGCCGCCACCGCTGGCTGCGGGTGCGTGCGGGCGGTGGGGTGCGGGGGTCGCGGCGGCTCCCCGCGGGGAGGGAACAGTTCTTACAGTCACTGATCGGCGCGAAGGGCGCGCGGCGGCGGCCAAGGGAGCGGTCTTCGGCGGGCGCCTCGGGAGGCCTCTTACCGGCGGGCAGCGGGAAGGCGGACGCGGTGTGGAGCAGCACCAGGCAGACAGCCACGACATCCCATAACTTCATCTTAGAGTCCCGTCCGGCGGCGGCACCTGCGCGGACGGGCGGGTGGAGAACCGCAGAATACTCGTTAGGCCCGCGCGTCCCGGGCCGCGGTGCTGCCTCCAGCGCTGCATCCCCGCGCGTCCCTGCGTCCCCCTCCGAACTTGCCACCGCCCTCCTCCCCGGCCAGCGTTTCCTCGGGGACCCCCGCCCTCCTTCCAAGTCCTCCGCTTGCTTCCCCCTCCCGAGTGCACCCCAGGAGCTGCTCGAGCTCTCGGTTCAGGCCGCAGCTATCCTTCTCCTCCACCGTCTAGCCCAAGGGGTCAGAATTTGGAGCAGGGCTGCTGTCCCCTCGGGTAAATTCCCGAACTCCACGACACCAGGATTCCTGTCCATTCCCCCCCACTGGTGCGCCACACCCCCTCGTCGCCTGGGGGGCAACCGGGCAGCCCCCTCCCTGCATCCTCCTACCCAGCCAGAGATGTCCCCGCCCTGCCCCGCCCCGCAGCTCCTGTAGGCCGGGGACGAGGGAACCCTCGACCCAGGCGAGGACTGGTCTTTTTCTTCGGGGATAAATCAAGCAAAGCATCTCTCCGCCCTGGTCCCAACCGACCCTGCTTCCAGCTAGGCAGGGGGCAGGCTCCCCGGCACCGCTCGCCCCGCCCGCCGCCCACACTTCATTCTTCCCACAGTAATAGGTATTTAGTTGCCAGAACAAGAAGTTAGCAGGGACGTGGAGACTTTGGGCCTGTATGGGAATATCTGCGTTATTTAAACTTCCTGATGCATTAACTTGGTTTAATACTACTTGCACCTCTTAAAGTTATGAGCATTAAATAATGCATGAAAAGGTCTAATGGAGCATAAAGTAAGCGCTCAATAAATGCTTTACCATTGCTGTTAGGCAAAGATTGCGTCTGTCTTGAAAATTTTAATCCTCTGTGGTATACCCGAAAACCCTCTCTTAATTTGATTTTTGCAGTTTTGCGAGATTCTGGCCCTAATCTCTTCCCCTCCCAGAGGAGTCGCTGGCTCCCGGCGCCCCTGTCACGCCTGGACGACTGCACCCAGTCCCAGACGCTTCGGAGGAGCCTTTCGGGCACTGGGAGTCCTAGACTATGAGACGGTGCAAAGTGGAGTTCAGCTTTTCTCAGCCCAGGATGGGGGGTGGGGCGGGCTCCTTTGGGCTTTTTAGTCCTCATGCCCTTAGAAAGGAGAGCAGTCGGGGGTGCGCGAGAGAAAGGCAGTGTAAACTCGGGGGCAAGCTCCAGCCAATGAGGAGATGGGGAGGGATCCGACACCTCCGGGTGCGGTGTTGCCCAGTCCCTTCCTAATCCCAGTGTCCCAGTCTCCAGCTGACTAGTAGCTGGAGAGCATTCTCAAGCAGAAACTACGAGAGTGATGCAGTTGATTATCTCAACTCCCCGCCCACCCCTCCCAAAAGAGAGCGGATTCTTAGGAAAACCTCCCTGAAGTTTAGGCATGGGGAAGGGAAAGGCGGTTTCCAGGTAAATGCAAGACTCTCAGCACCCACCTTTCCTCTTCATTAGTTCCTAGGCAACCCCACCTCCCTGTCAGGGTCCTCCTCCTCATAGCTACCCAGAACCCTGGCCCGGGTCCTGGGGCAGGCCACCCCGGGAAGCGTTTGATTCGGCCGCCACCTCCCACTGCTGCGGAGACGAATGCATTTTCCGTCCCTTGGACGGCCGTTTGTTCGCTATGCAGCTGTTGGGCTTGCCAGTGTGTAGGGACTAGGAACTTTGTGCGATTTGCATTCTGAGCGCCTCTTGCCCTCTTGCTGGCTTGCAAACCCAGGAAAGAACAAGGGCTCTGGGTCCGGACACGCAGGCCCAGGAAAACTGCACCAGGCGGTGCACAATGAGCACAGAGAGGCGTTTTGGCAGCCGGGACCGGGCAAACGCGAGGCCTCCCGCGCCCTCGGTGCCAGCTCCCGGGTGCGTGCGAAATGGCTGGCGGTCCAGAGGGGCAGGGAGGCGCGGGGCTAATGCGCCATTCCAAATCGCGGGGCCCGCCAGCAGGCAGCGACAGAAGCACCAGATTTCCCTTCCGTCTTAAAAGGGTTTTCCCTTTTTTCCTGCTTGGCTGACGGAGGGCTTTTTAATTGGACGTGGAATCCTCTATTAGAAATGTGGCGACGCTGGCAAAAGAGGAAACAGTGGAAAACTCCCCGCCTCGCCAGAGGAGGCTCCCAGCTCCCGTTCCCGCCCTCGGCCAGGTGCCGCAGGCGCCCCAAAGAGGTCCCCCGCCTCCCCCGGGACGGGGAGGGCGCATTCCTCCCTCCGAGAGCCGCGGGGGCCGGCTCCAGTCGGAGCGGCTCTTTGGTTCCCGGTATTTGCAGGGCGGGGGAAGGGGGTGTAGTTCTGGGGACTGGGCGCTCGCAGCGGCCTGCTAGGACGTTTTTCTCAGAGTCCATCTGGGCCCCACCCCGCGGCTTCCCAGTCAGTCTCTTTATCGCTTTCCCCAAACACATCTACTTCTGCCCGACGGGGTTCCCCCGCCACCATGCGCCGTTGCTATTCGTGCCAATGGCTTAACCCGCTGCCACGTGCAGGAACCAAGCTCTCCTCCCGAAGTCGGCTCCGCCAGGTGACCCGCACCCTTTCTCGTGCCTGGCAGGCAGGTGCCCCTCTCGGTTCAGGACTAATGCTCCCCGGCAGGGCAAAAGGGGCTCGCCGTGGGCGCCTGCATGCGGGTCCCAAGCCTGGAGTGGAAAGGACGCCAGGGAAAACCGGAGAAGGGTCCGCAGAAGCCACCGCTCGCCGAAGGGCGCTTCCGAGTTCCCGGCACCAGGGGGCACCAGAAACCTTCTGAGTCCTGCAGCGCCCACGCGGCCGGGAGGCTGCGTTGTCATTTTAAGTATAAAACCCGAGAACAACCACTCCCTCTACAATCCTTCCTAAATCGGAATTAGCCTGGGAACCTGTGGATGTTCTTATCAGCATGCTTGCTTTCCAGGCTTCTACCCCTCCATTCTTTCCCCCTAGCTTTACTCTTCCCACTTCACCTGAGCTGGTTTCTTGGCAACCTGCTCTTAGACCCCCTCACCCCTTCCCCGCGCCGCCGTGACAGCTTCGCAGCCAGGGAGCTCTCCCGCCGTCAGTGCCCCCGCACCTTCTCGTGCCTGGCGGGCTGGGAGGTTCGTTTGGGCTTTGCCTTCAAGATCCAGGTCTCAGGGAGAAAAAAAGGAAGCAGCGGGGCGGGGAGAGGGGCTTGCTATAAACTCGGAGGTTTTCTTTTGGGGTAAGGACAGAAATTGCTATCGTATCTATTGCTTTTCTTAACAGTCCTTGACTGATGGAGGACGTATTCTCCACCTAACCTCCCATAGCCGCGGGGCCCAAGATGAAGGAAGGACAAAGAATGCCGGACCCCTCTCAAAGGCAAGCTGGGGAGGGGCGTCTGTGTGTTGGAGAGCCCAGAGCTGGGTTCCAGGGCCGGGAGCACCCGAATCTCTTGCAGGAGCAGGCTAGAAGACGCGACGGGTTTCGACACTCGCCACTTGTTAGAAAGGCGACACCTCCCCTGTCAAAGCGAAGGAGCAGCAAAGCAGTGAGGGCTTGGTCGTGCCGGGAGGGAGGCTGGGGCACCCACTTTGACGGCTTTGCAGGAAAAAGTGTGTGCGTGCGGTTGGAAGCAGCACCTTTTCCTTGAAATACTTAAGCGTATATTCAAAATACCGAGTAAGAGCAGAGCACGCTCTAACACACCCGCGGCAGAGGCCGGAGGAGTTGCATTTGTCCTCGCCAATGAGCAAAAACGAAGTGAGCTCGGGGCTGGGCAGCCCCCTGGGGCGCGCACATGGGCTGGGCGGGCGGATTCTGCCACAGCCTAAACAAGCGAGGAGGCTGGGGGACACCCCTCGAAAGTCCATTGCCGGCCCCGAATGAGGGTTCCTTTGCACTGGCTGGAAACCAAACCATCCCTGACTTAGCCTCTAGGTAGTGGTGATGGGGTGTTATTGGGAAGGAGGCACAGAGTACTGGAGAAAAGAGGTTCCTAAAATAATCACCTAGATGGCTTAGTGGAGACCTTGAGGAGTTCCAAGAGTCTGTTCAAGACGGAGACCTGAGTCCAGGGCTGTAAAAGGATCCCCTCTCCTCACCTCGATGGGGGTGGTTAGTTGGGGTTTAGGGCATTAGGAAAGTACAAGCGACCAGGTTAGGAAAAGAGAGAGGAATGTAGCTTTGCAAGACCGCTTGGGGAGGAGGTGAGCCCTCTATTTTTAGATTCTCAACACCTTTGCAGCAGTCCCTCCCGGGCCTGCACTTTACCTTGGAACAGACCAAAGCAAGCTCAACAGTAAGTTAAACTCTTGGTAATGATAGCATCTCTGCTGCTTCACGTCCAGAGAGGCCGTGGGTTCAAAGATGACCCAAGACCTCCACCGTTCTGGGACTTGACAGGAGCACCCTCTAGAGAAGGAAATTGCCCCTCTTGGGCATTCCGGAGTCCAGGGGCATCAGGTGCTCCAAAGTTCTTTGCCCACGTGGAAAAGGCAACCTGCCTCTCCGCAAGGCCAGCCCCTCTCTCTCTCAACTTCTCTTTCTCCTCTGTCCTCCTGGAGCCTTCTAGTCTTTGCTTCTAGTCCGGCTCCTTCTAGTCTTTCCACTTTCTACTCTCACCGCCTGTTCTTGGGGGCCAGACGCGTCCCTCTATCCCGGGCTCCCTACAGCCAGCCGCGCCCGCAGGCAACGCAGGCGCCACCCGCCTCCTCCACCCTGGCCCGCTCTTCCACTTACCTCGGATCGGGTCTCCGCAGACCCCCAAGTGGACATTAACTCCAGGTGCCCCAAGTCCCAACCAGGAGACCCATCCGGGCCGATGGCTGGAGCGCGGAGCCCCGCCCAACAGGTCAGCTGCAGGAGTTCGCAATCCTGGGGTCGCGCGGGGCAGCGACCGAGCGCGGGAGGCGGCGACCAGGGCTCCCGCCGCCTCCGCCGCCGGGAGAAGGACGAGGGCTAACGACAACTCCCCCGCCGGCCCCCTGTATTCCCAGAAGCTGAGGTCCGAGCAGCCGCCGCAGTCTTGGGTGGGGGGTGACACGGCGGAGAGTGCTGCGCTCTCGGCCGGGGCTCCGCTGGCCCGGGCGCCGCGGGAAGCTCAGCGGCGGCTGCCTCGCTCTGCGCCTCCTCGGGGCGCAGTGCCTGGGAGCACAAGACGGGCCTGTCTGATGCCGCGGGAGCTGAGGTCTAGCCTGGAGATCCGAACGAGACACCACGTCAACCGGCGCGGGGAGTCCCGTGAAGACATGAGGGCGCCAGGAGCGCAGGCTGGTCGTCGAGATCCCGGGCTGGGGGGCCGAGGTGGGGGAGGGGACGCGCGGGGCCCTGGGAGGGGAGGGGTCCGGAGGCGGCGGCAGGGCCGGGCGGTGGAGGAGAGAGAGGAGAGCAGCGAGGAGGCGCTGGAGCTCCGAGGTGGGAGCGCAGGGTGCAAGTGGGTGACGCGAGGCGCCCCTCCCTGGGGTGCAGGGAGAGCGCTGAGCGCGTGGAGACGCCGCCGGGCTCGCGCCTCCTCGCTGGGTAGATCCGGAGGAATGTGCGGAGCTCCGCTCAGACCAACCGAAGGGGGCAATCCGAACTTGACCGCAGCGCACGCGCCCGGCTTCGCCCCTGCGCCCCGCGGTCGGAGGGAGGGCGCTCTGTCGGGTGGAGGGCTACACTGGGCTTTCCTCGCGCCTGTCGAAGGCTTTCCTTCCTGCTCCGGTGTCTCGCCCTCTAGCTTTTCTGCAGGGCAGAAGGCAGCGGCGAGAAGAGGAGCTGCCGGCTGGAGTTCTAGCACCAAGAAGGAGAGATGCGGAGCGGCCCAGTGAGGGAAGCCGAGTGTTTGCCAGGGGACTCTGCGAGTTGGGATGAATTTATAGGGCTCTCACTCCGTGACGTGCCCTCCAGTGGCTTTTCTGATTCGCTTTCTGACCTAAACACACATTAGTTTAGTCCCCATGCTAAGGCCAACACGGTCTCCAAATATCTGCTGGCTGAAGTCAGAGGCTTTGCATATCATGTATTACATGGCAGGCAATGAAGAAGGCTTCTGAGGCTGGCCGGCTCCTCAGTCCTAGG